GACGATTGGCCAGAAGCCAGTGGGAGGGAGGGTGGATTGAAATGGCGGGAGATGCGCCAGAGGAAAAGGACAGCAGTGCCGGGTTTCCAGAAAGTTCCACCTTTAGGAACATTGTGTTTCTTATGGCCCCTAGGATAGTCTCTGAGAAAGGAACAAAGGGACTTGGAGTGAATATCCAAAGAGGGTTCTGACTGAGGTTCATCTGGTCTTGAAGTACAGCCTAAACCCTTTCTGGAGAGAATAGCCAATTGGGAGCCACAGAGTGGTATGGGCATCCATCACTTGGTGCTAAGCAGAATTTTTTTTTTTTTACATTTATTTATTTTTTGAGAGGCATAGAATTACAGAGCACAAGTTGGGGAGGGGCAGAGAGAGAAGGAGACACAGAATCCGAAGCATGTTCCAGGCTCTGAGCTGACAGCATAGAGCCTGACGTGGGGCTCAAACTCATAAACCATGAGATCATGACCTGAGCCGAAGTCAGACACTTAACCGACGGAGCCACCCAGGCGCCCCGCTGCTAAGCAGAATTCTATTCCCACTCAACAGTTGGGTCCCTACAGGCCACAGGAGTGGAGCTAAAAAAAAAGCAAGAAGCAGTAAGTACCATGGAATGGAAGGTTGTCATAGCCTAGAACTTTCCTCGCCACCTCACCTCTGCCCCCTGCAGCCACAGTCAAGAGCAATTTCAAATTTGGGTGATCCTTGCAGGAGAGTCACCGAGGGAATGCCCTGAGGGAGTCTCAGAGGAAGGGATGTGACTTACCGTCCACTGGGGCCTGGAGAGCAACCCTGTTCCTTCCCTGAGAAGAAAGAAGTCCTCTCAGCCAATGGAGAGTCAGGATGGGCCATGATGTCATTGGGTGCTAGGAAGAGAGGACGGGCCCTCCAGCCAACAAAAAGGAAGGAAATGGCCCACTCCCCCCGCATGTCCTGTCCATCTGCAAATCCTGTACCCTCCATCCACTACATATGTTCGTAATTCAGCCATTTTTACCATGTCCACTGCCACCACGTGGTCCAAGCCCCCACCATTGTTCTCCTGGGTTATTACGGTAGTGTCCATGCTGGTCTCCCCTCTCCCCCCCTACTAAGAGTTTTCTTCAGACAGAACCAGGATGGTGGCTTTAAAACCCAAGTCAGGGGCACCCCGGTGGCTCAGACGGTTGAGCGTCTGACTCTTGATCGAGATGGAGCCTCATGTTGGGCTCTGCATTGACAGCACAGGTCTTGATGTCAGGGTCGTGAGTGCAAGCCCCACAACGGGCTCTACGAGGGGGGTGAAGCCAATTACAAAAAACAAACAAACAAGAAAAATCTGGATGTAGTCAAGCCACCTGGAACCTCCTGGCTTTCCTCTCCATCATCCATAGAGTGCATCAGGATGGAAGAAGGTATAGAGAAAAGGCCAAAAGTCCCAAACAGCTGACTTATAAGGGTTATTTTCCAAAAACTGCTATACAATCCCTCTGTTCTTATCTCATTGGCCAGAATCTGGTGATATGACGACACCTAGCTGCAAGAGAAGGTGGAAAAACAACTTTTAATGCTGTGCTGTCTTGGAGCCAGCTAAATAGGGTGTTTTACTATCAAAGAAAGAGAAAAAGAAAGAATGTTTCGGATAAGCGGCCAACCTGACTTTAGGCCAGACCCTTAGCCAATCAGAACCCAGAACTCAGAGTATGCTATGACATCATGAAGTGCTAGGCAGAACAGCCTTTTTTTTTTTTTTTTTTTTTTTTTTTTGGCAGAGCAGCCTTTTGGCAATTCCAGGAAAAGAGAAGCTGAGATTCAAAGGAGTCTGGTCATGGCATTGCATTCCACCTCCTGCCGTCCTGACCTTGGATTTGCGTCTGTTTTGTTCCATGTTGTAACCGCAGCCCTAGAACACAATAGGTACTCAAATATTTGTTGAATACATAGGTTGGTCCTATTATTATCCCCCTTATACAGATGAAGAAATTGAGGCTCCTGGGGCCGGTGGGGGGCAAACTCCATGTTGAGGTGAGGGCAGAGATTCAAACCCAGGTGTGTTTAGGTTTGGCCAGCATTCCATTTTTTTTTTTTAATTTTTTTTTTAATGTTTATTTATTTTTGAGACAGAGAGAGACAGAGCATGAACGGGGGAGGGTCAGAGAGAGAGGGAGACACAGAATCTGAAACAGGCTCTGGGCTCTGAGCAGTCAGCACAGAGCCCGACGCGGGGCTCGAACTCACGGACAGTGAGATCGTGACCTGAGCCAAAGTCGGATGCCTAACCAACTGAGCCACCCAGGCGCCCCAAGGTTTGGCCAGCATTCCTAGCCATCTCTTCCAAGAGTCTTAGCAACTGTCACACAACGAGCAGCAGGCCTTCAAACTTCGTTCTTTAGAGCCGAGCTGTGTGATACACTAACCACTAGCCACATTGGGCTATTTAAGTTTAAGTTGATTAAAATGAAATAAAAGTTAACCTTCGGTTCCTCAGTTGCATTACCCACAGCTCAAGTGGCTGATGGCTAGCCTACTGGAGACAGCAGATCTAGAACATGCAATAACCGCACAGAGCCTGCTTGGGATTCTCTCTCTCCCTCTCTCTCTGCCCATCCCATGATCTCTCTCTTTCTCAAAAGAAATAAACTTTAATGTGTGTGTGTGTGTGTGTGTGTGTGTGTGTGTGTGTGTATTTAAATGCCTGGTGGCCACAGCTCCCTCAGGAAAGGAGAGGCCAAAAGACAGAGAGAACACAGATCTGGAAGAATTTGCTGGGCTCCCTCAAGAGAGCAGAAGCTGCAAACAGCTCTCTCTCCCTGCTCTCAAGGCGAGGAGTTGAAGAGAGGCTGTGGGAACCATCCAGGCCTGGAGAGTCCTGGCCCTGTCGCCTCCCACCCAGGGGTCAGGGAGGCAGGAGATGAAACTGGGACCGAGGTGAGCCCCATATGTTCCCTATGACCCAAACTTTGTTCCCAGCGACCGAGACAAATAGGCATGAAATCCACATCTGGGACCCACCTCCGCCCTGGCCATTCCCTCCGCCTCCGGGCAGCGAGCCCAGTCTGTCTGTGTGCTATCGTGGAGGCCACACAGGTGGCTTCCAGAACTCAAAGGAGCCTCCTGCCCACCTCACCATTGCTGATGGCTTCCTAGAAGAGTAGGCTCCTTCAGTATCTAAGAGACTGAGTAAGAATTGGCCCAGCAGAGAAGAGAACCCCAGTTAGAGGCAACAGTTGGTGCAAAGTTCTCGAAGCCAGAGGGCCTTGTGTGGTTAGACCAGAGAGATTAGGCTGGGGATTGGCAGTAGTCAAGGCATATGAGGCCTCTAAGGCCAGGCTGAGGGCCTGTGTGTTTTTTCCGTGGGGTCCTGGGGAGCCCTGGGAGGTCTGTGAGCTAAAGAAAGGGGAGAGCCAGTCCTCTAATCACTGAGGTGTTCAGTTCACTGGGAGAGCCCAGAGAGGGCTGTGAACCTAGCCCGGAGATCAGGAAACGTGTCTTAGAGAAAGTGATATTTGAGCTAGGCCTTGAAGGACAGATGAAGGATTTGGTCACAACAAGAAAGGCTGAGGGTCGGACACTCTGTCCAGGGGTGCTGGGCATCAGTGGGACCTCTGTGACTAGGGCAGAGGCAAGGTGAGGTCTGGGATCCGTAAAGGGTAGGCCGGAGGCAGAGGGAGAGCCAGGAGGGGGAGGCCAGCAGGGAGAGGAGGAGTTTGGACCTGGGCTTCAATTATGGGGACAGACAAAGGGGGAAATGTCACCTACACCTGGAAGACTTCCTCTCTCTCTCTTTTTTTAAAGTTTATGTATTTATTTTGAAAGAGAGAGAAAGAGAGCAGGAGGGACAGAGAGAGAGAGAGAATCTCAAGGTGGCTCTGCACTGTCAGCATGGAGCCCGATGTGGGGCTCAAACTCAGGAACCGTGAGACCATGACCTGAGCTGAAATCAAGAAGCCAGGAGGCCCTGTAAGCCTTCCTCTCTCTCTCTCTCTCTCTCTCTTTTTTTCAAATTTATTTATTTTTGAGAGACAGAGAGAGATAGAGCTCGAGTGGGGGAGGGACAGAGGGCAAGAAGGAAACACAGAATCCGAAGCAAGCTCCAGGCTCCGAGCTGTCAGCCCAGAGCCCGATGCCGGGCTTGAACCCATAAACCGCAAGATCATGACCTGAGCCGAAGTCGGGTGCTCAATAGACTGAGTCACCCAGGCACCCACGGAAGCCTTCCTTTTAGTCCCCCCTCCCCTACACAAAAATGTTTTCTCCACCATTTCTCTCATTTCTCTGCCACTGTCTCTATTTTGACTCCATTCCTTCATTTATTCCTTCATTCAACATACTCTCCTGAGGTCTCCCTGGGAAATACTGGGATGGAGACCTGAGTCAGACCCAGGACTTGCCCTGCAGGGGGAGGGTGTTGTAGGGGAGAGACCTACATACAGTCACATCGGTGTGATGTGTGATAATGGAGACAGCTTGGGGCTTCCCCTGTTAGATCAGAGAAGGCTTCCTGGAGGACGTGAGGCCCTTGCTGGACCTTGCAGGAAACCCAAGTGTCTCCCAAGCAGATAGGAGGGAGCCAGAGTCTCAAGGGGAGACACATGGGAAGTTTGGTCTCATTCAATCATGTTCGATTTCTCTCCCGAGGAACAGCCCCATGTGCCCTGTGTGGGGCGATGCTGGGGACCCAGAGATGGGTCAGGCCTGGGCCCTTGAGAGAGGACACACAGGAGACAGTCCCTCCTCTGATGGGATCTGTGCTCTAACGGAGGAAGCACAGGGCATTAGGGATGTGCTCAGTAGGCACTGACCCAGCCTGGGGCATCAGGGAGGGCTTCCCGGAGGAGGAGAGCCAACTCTTAGGTAGAGCCTACTCTTCCTGACGTGTCAGGAAGTGAAGTGTCTTGTCCGTCTCTCCCTCCATGTATCTCTGGCTCCGTCATTGCCTGTCTCCGAAAAGTTCCGAGACTTTCTCAGTATTTCTCCCCACCCGTGAGGTCGGCTGCCATAACCAATGACCGCATACTGTGTGACTGAAAACAACAGAAATTTATTCTCTCACAGCTCCGGAGGCCCGGAGGCCCAAATCAAGGTGTCGGCAGGGCCATGGTCCCTCTGAAGGCTCCAGGAGAGGATCCTTCCTCGCATCTCCCAGCTTCTGGTGGCTCCTGGCATTTCTTGGCTTGCGGCCACATCACTCCAATCTGTGCCTCTGTCTTCACGTTGTCATCTCGGATCTCCCTCTGCCTTTCTCTCATAAGGACACTTGTCATTGGATTTAGGGTCCAGGCAGATAATGCAGGAGGATCTGCTCTCAAGGTCATTAACTTAGTCACAGCTGCAAAAACCTTTTGGCCAGGGGCGCCTGGGTGGCTCAGTCGGTTGAGTGTCCGACTTCAGCTCGGGTCATGATCTCGCGGTCCGTGAGTTCGAGCCCCGCGTCGGGCTCTGGGCTGGTGGCTCAGAGCCTGGAGGCTGCTTCCGATTCTGTGTCTCCCTCTCTCTCTGACCCTCCCCCGTTCATGCTCTGTCTCTCTCTGTCTCAAAAATAAATAAATGTTAAAAAAAATTATAAAAAAAAAACCTTTTGGCCAAATTAGGTCCCATTCACAGGTTTGAGGAACCTTCCTTCCTTCCTTCCTTCCTTTCTTTCTTTCATGTGTGTGTGGGGGCACCATCCAACCTACTATATCTTGGATGAGTCACTTCTCTCTCTCACCAGCCTCAGTGTTTCTATCTGAATAATGGGGCTAATTTTTTTATATTATTATTAAAGCATGGGGACAGGACCGAAGGGCAGGAAGAGCTCTATAATGGGGCTAATTTTAACCCCACCTCATGGGGCAGCTTTGAGGGTTGAAATAAAGCCTACAGGGTGCATGGCATGGCCTGGTGTCTAGAAAACTCCAGTCAGGGCGGCTTTTCTCCATCAGATTTGGGTCCCTCTTCCACTCTTCCTGACGCTTTCCCCACTTTTCTGCATCTATGCCTCCATCGTGTTTCCTCCATTCCTCTTTTTTCTTTTTACATTTATTTATTCATTTTGAGAGGGGGGAGGGCAGAGAGAGGAGAGAAAGAGAATCCCAAGCAGGCTCCGCACTGACAGTGCAGAGCCCGACGCAGGACTCGAACCCACCAACCGCAAGATCGTGACCTGAGCTGAAATCCAGAGTCGGCTGTTTAACCGACTGAGCCACCCAGGCGCCCCTCCCCCCGTCTCGTCTTTGTTTTCCTCCTCTGCTCCTCCACTTCCTAAGTGGGGAGAACTCTGGGCAAGTCACTGATGGCTTCTGACCCTTGGTTTCCTCATCTGTAGAATGGGACCACAGCCTCTACCCCATTGGGCGGCTGGGGATTACACGAGCGAGTTGACAGGAAGTCTCAGAACTCTGCCTGGGATGTCGTAGCTGCTTTATGTGCTGGCTGTTATGACTGTAACTTGTTGTTGTTGTTGTTGTTGTTACCGTGTTATCACCATTGTTTCCTTTGTCTTGCCTCTCTTCCCTGTCTCCATAGTTCCCTCAAGCATCTCTCTCCACGTGTCACTGAGTTTCTGAATATGTGTCTCCTTGACCTCAAAGCCTCACGGGGCTTTCAGGGTCCATCTCTCCCCATTGTTCTCTTCTTCTCCCTCTTCTCTCTCGTCGATTCTCTGATGCTTCGAGAGGAGGGGCCTAATCTCTTAGGCTTAGTGAGACTTAGCGACTCACTTCTGAGGGACAGAAGAAAACAGAAGTGATGGTGCGTGGCTTTGGAGATTAGGTCATAGAAGACCTCTCTCTCTCTCTCTCTCTCTCTCTCTCTCTCTCTCACAATCACTCACTCTAGGGAAGCCAGAAGTCACATTGTGAGGCCCACTGGTGAGGAGCTCAGGCCCTCCTGGCAACCACCGTGTAGGAGAGCTTGGAAGTGATTCTCCAGCCCCAGTCGACCCTTCAGATGACGGCACCCTGGCCCATAGCCTAACTGGACCCTCATGAGAGGCCCTGAGCCGAACCACCCAGCTAAGCCACTCCCAAACTCTAACCCCTCAGAAACGGTGAGACAACAGATGTTTGCTGCTTTAAGCCACTGAGTTTGGGGGAGATTTGTTCCCCCCATGTCCATTGTGGCAATGGATAAGTCATACATACCTTTCTTTCTCGCGTTTTCTCTTCATTTCTGACTCCCTTTGGGCGTCCCTGTCCCCTCCATCTCTAGGTCCTTGGAATGTCCGTTCCCAATTCTCTATCCGAATGTCTGTCTTTCTGCCTCGGCTCTCTCCCTTGACGTCCGTTGGATTGTTTCTGGGTCTCTCTCCCTCCGTCTGGGCCCCTGGGTCTCTGCCATCTGGTCCTTTCTGGCTCTCTCTCTTTCCCTGCAGTGTTTCTACTCAGGGGCCTGTGTGTGTGTCTGCCTCTTTCTCTGCGTTTCTCTGTCTCTCTCTTTAGTGTTGGCTGTGTCACTCTGGATCTCTTTTCTATTTCTGTCTCCGCCCCCCCTGGCCTTCCCTTTCTGGCATCTCCGACCTGCTGGGTGGATGGGGCTCTCTGTTGCTATAGCTAAGTGTGTATCCGTATTTCTTGCTCTGCCTCCATCAGTATCTCTCCCTCTCTCTCTCTCTCTGTATCACTTCCGCGTCTTTCTACCTGGATCTCTCTCTCAGCGTGTGTGTGTGTCTCTCTCTCTCCCTCCCTCCTGGCCTCCCCATCTCCAGCCGGCGGTCTGCCCCCCGCCCTGGCGCCCCGCGTCCATCTCGGGCTCCCTTTCCCTTCCCAAGCCTCTGCAGTTCTCCAAACCTCACCTCCGGCTCTCTCGCCTCCGCCTCCCCTGCTCCTCCTCCCGGCTCTCGGTCCCTCTCCAGGTCTCTGCCTCCCCCTCCTGGTCAGCCGCCCGCACCGCACCCCGATCTCCCAGGGGATCCCTCAGCCCGGTTAAGGCAGCCCCCAGCCGAGGCCGAGCGGGGCGGGGGGCGGGGGCTGCAGGCGCCGGTGCGGGCTCAACCCGGGTCCCCGAGAGCCGGGGGACCTCGGATCCTCCGGCGCCAGCGGGACCATAGCACCGAGACTTCGGAGGACTGTCAGCGCCACCTTAAGCTCCCCCCCCCTTCCCCCTTCTGCGGATGATGGGAACTGCCAGCTCTGGGCCCTAGGTGTCCCGGCCAACCCTCCCCCCCCGCCCCGCCCCCATGGCCCCAGCACAGTTGGAAGCTGGGGATCGGCCCCCAGCGACCCCTCCATCCTGCCCCTTGGGCATCCCCCCTACACCAGGCCGAGGAGCGTTCGCTGCCGTGAGATCTGCCGCCCCCCCAGCAACAACGACAAAAAAATTAAATAACACCCAGAGAGAGAAGAGAGGGAGGGGGAGGAGGGAGCGGGGACGAGGGAAGAGAGAGAAGGAGAAGAAACAGGAGAGGCAGGAGAGGAGGAGGTGGGGAGGCAGGGAGAGAGAGAAGCTGGAGACAGAGAGAGACCGGGAGGAGGAAAGAGAAGCAGGATGGAGACATGGGGTTAGGTGGCTGGGGGGAGGGGGGGAGCTGGAAGAAGACAGAGCGAAGAGGGGGGGTGTGGATTAGAAACCAGGAGGTAACCCCGGGGAGAAGCAGGAGGCAGAGAGAGGAATAGGAAGATCAGGAGGTAGAGGGAGGCTGGAGGGTTGGGGAAAAGAGAGAGAAGGAGGAGAGGAAGGGAGAACAGGGAGAGGAGGCGGGAGGGGATTTGGGGGGTCTCGGTCCTCCCCACCACCGCCTCGGTGTTCGGGGAACCAGTCTCCCTGTGGGGAGGAGAGGCAGGCTGGCAGTCCTGGAGGGACTGGGTCCCACAAAGAGGGGCCAGAGGAGCTGAGAGAGGGGGCCGGGACACTGGGAAGGGGTCGTCCAGAGGCCTCCCGGGGATGGGGGTTGCAGCTCGACTGAGCGCCCCTCGAGCGCTGGTACTCTGGGCCGCACTGGGGGCAGCAGGTAAGGCCCAGTGAGGGGGGGTTGGGGCAGGAGCCCCTGGGGGGGGGGGGGGCCCAGGAGAGGGGCTCAGGCTGCTCTCTCCGCAGCTCACATCGGACCTGCACCTGATCCGGAAGACTGGTGGAGCTACAAGGATAATCTCCAGGGAAACTTCGTGCCAGGTGCAGCCAGGGCGGGGACCCAGGAGGCCGGGCTGCTGGGTGCCTCCTCCCTCGGACCCAGGAGCCCTCTCCTCACAGGACCCGGGAGTCCCAGCCCCTTCCTCCCTCCCTCAGGAGTTGGGCCCAGCCTCTGAACCCGGGAGCTCACCATGGGACATTATATATGTGCATTTCAAGTAGTGAGTGGGAGTGAGTGGAAGGAAAGAGTGTGGGGGTGGAAGAGAGCGCGTGTCCCTTTGCAAGGAAAGAGGCAGGTAGGTCCCGGCTGTTCCTGGGAACCAGTGGGTCGCCGGCCGGTTCCCTTGCCTTGGCCAGCCCTGTCTTGCAACTCCTCTCCCCGATACATTCATTATCCAGCTGCGGGACACGGGAGACTGAAAGAACTACGACTCCCATGGGCGCCTGGGCGGGCCGGCAGTGGATGGGTAGGCTGGCTGCCCTCAGGCCTGCTGGGAGTTGTAGTTCTTTCCCCCAATGGCTTAATGACTTCAGATCGGTTTCGTCCAGGAGGGTGCTAGATGGTTTTAGGAAACTCCTCCAAGATTCTTCTAGGACCCAGGATTCTGGATCCCAGCCCCCTCCTCCCTCAGACCCAGGAGTGGCCGTCTCCTGCCCTTCCTCTCCTGGGATCCGGGAGTCCAGACCACAGCCTTGTGGGCAGATCCCAGCATTGGGATCCAGTCCCTATTTCTGACTCCTTTTCCTCCCTGCCCCATCCCTGCTTCCAGGGCCTCCCTTCTGGGGCCTGGTGAATGCCGCCTGGAGTCTGTGTGCTGTGGGGAAGCGGCAAAGCCCCGTGGACGTGGAGCTGAAGAGGGTCCTTTATGACCCCTTTCTGCCCCCACTGAGACTCAGCACTGGGGGAGAGAAGGTAAGGGGCCTGGTGGGAGGGGTTACCCAATCCCCTGGGGGCGGGCACGAGTGGGGGTGGGTCTCTGAGGTGGAAATCTCGCCTGGGGTAAGGAGGGGCACACACTGGGTGGAAAGGAGGCTCCTGACGCTCGAAAGTGGCTCACCTGTTCCCCCCTCCGCAAACATGGCTCGCTAGTTTTTCCACATCTGTAAAAGCAATTGTAAAACAAACCGCTCTCGGTGCTAGGCCCCGTTTTAAAAGCTTGATAATAAGTCTTCTAATCCTCAGAAACCACACCATGAAACGGGTGCTATCATTGTCCCTATTTTACGGATGCAGACACTGAGGCACAGAGAGAGTGGGTTACTTGTCTGAGGTCACACAGCTAGAGTGCCATCCCTGGGATCCAAACCCAGGCGGTGTGGTCCTAGCCTCCACGTTCTTGCCCACTTTGCAGTGCCATTTCGTTTCTTTTTTTTTTTTTTTTTAATGTTTATTCACTTTTGAGGGAGAGCGAGCGAGCATGAGCGAGGGAGAGGCAGAGAGAGAGAGAAAGATAGAAAACCTGCAGCGGGCTCCAACGTGGGGCTTGAACCCACAAAACAAAGATCATGACCTGAGCCTAGCTCTGCGTGTGTGTGTGTGTGTGTGTGTGTGTGTGTGTGTGTTTTCAGTTATTTAAATAAAAATACAAAACATCCCGTCATTGTCCACAAGGTCCCGCACCATCTGGCTCCTATCTCCTCTCCTTTGCTCACCAAGCTCTGGTCCCACTGGCCTCCTTGCTGTCATGGAAACAGGCTACCTTAGGGCCTTTGCACTTGCTGTTTCCTCTTCCTGGAATGCCCTTCTCTCTGCTCTTTGCAACTAATTCCTGCTTATCTTTTAGGTCTCCACTCAAATGTCCCTTTCTTGTGATGGCCTTTCCTCATCCCACCCTACCCCACCCCCGATCTAGGCTGGGTTTCCCATTACACCTTCTGAGAGTTTTCAGTTCTTTACTGCATGAGCAGAAGATGTAATTCATTAAGCAGTTACTTATGTGATTCCTTATTTATTGTGTCTGCTCCCTTAGCATGCAAGTTCCATGAGGCCCAGCCCAGGGTTTTTGTCTCCTTGTTATGCTCTCCTCCTGGCATCCATGGCACATAGTGGCAGCTCAATAAATATGTGTTAGTGAAATAAATCCAGCGATCGTGAGCACCTGCCACGGACCAGAACAGAGCCTGCAAAGTCACTGGTGTTGAAACTATGCTGAATGACTAAATGACTGTCGGAAGCAGGAAATGTAGGCGTGGAATGCGGGAGCGAGAACATCTCTCTTCGTCCCTGTGACGGCTTCCACCTCATTCCACCTCTCCCGCAGCTCCGGGGAACCCTCTACAACACCGGCCGCCATGTCTCCTTCCTGCCTGCACCCCGGCCCGTGGTCAACGTGTCTGGGGGGCCCCTCCTCTATAGCCATCGACTCAGTGAACTGCGATTGCTGTTTGGAGCGCGCGATGGAGCCGGCTCTGAACACCAGATCAACCACCAGGGGTTCTCTGCGGAGGTGGTGGCCACTGACCTCTGACCCTTGACCTTCGCCCCAAGTTGACCCAATTGCTCCCCCACCTTACCTTTCTTTTGAGGCCTCACCCCATCCTCTTTCATAGAACAGCCCCCCGAGCACTAAGCTTTAACCTGACTTGAGACCCCAAGGGCCCAGAGCTGTACCCGCTCTCTCCTCCCCTTCTGCTGGGGGACCCCCACTCTGTGCTTCCCTCCCAGGTGCAGCTCATCCACTTCAACCAAGAACTCTATGGGAACCTGAGCGCCGCCTCCCGGGGCCCCAATGGCCTGGCCATTCTCAGCCTCTTTGTCAATGTGAGCCCAGGCAAGAGTCTGAGGGAAGGTGGGGTCTGAGCCAGAAGGAATCTGGGAGGCCCAGGCTCCCGCGTTCTGGGGAAGGAAGGGATTGGGGGCTCGGGCTTCTGGATTCCCACTTCCTCACCTCGTACCCCCACACAGGTGGCCGGCAGCTCAAACCCCTTCCTCAGCCGCCTCCTTAACCGTGACACCATCACCCGCATCTCCTACAAGAGTAAGTCCCTGGTGCATTGGTGGGGGACTGGGGGAGCAGGGTGTGCACAGGACGGGAGCTCAAGAAGGGCACTCCTCTTCACTCTCGCCCGGTATTCCCGCAGATGATGCCTACTTTCTTCAAGACCTGAGCCTGGAGCTCCTGTTCCCCGAATCCTTTGGCTTCATCACCTATCAGGGCTCTCTCAGCACCCCGCCCTGCTCAGAGACTGTCACCTGGATCCTCATCGACCGGGCCCTCAATATTACCTCCCTCCAGGTGACCCACTGTGCACTGCAGCCCCTTTGGCCTGGCTAACCCATTCCCTGGCCTGGGCATCCTCCCTTGGCCTCACCTACTCTCCTCCCTTCTTCCTTGTCCGACTGTTGGGAGGGTCAGACAACCTTTGGGGGTGGGCTGGGGCTGAGCAAAGCCCCGCCCACCCGCTCGAGGGGCGGAGCTTCCCCTGAGACCCATTCACCCGGACAGTTCCTTATTCACTCTGTTTCCCATCCCCTCCCGCGGCAGATGCACTCCCTGAGACTCCTGAGCCAGAATCCTCCGTCCCAGATCTTCCAGAGCCTCAGCGGTAACGGCCGGCCCCTGCAGCCCTTGGCCCACAGGGCCTTGAGGGGCAACAGGGACCCCCGGCACCCCGAGAGGCGCTGCCGAGGCCCCAACTACCGCCTGCATGGTATGGTCCAGTCTGCACCCCCCTCCCCCGCACGTCTTGGTCTAACCCGCCTATGTGTTTCCCCCCCCCCCCCCCCGCCCTTGTTGTCCCAATGTGATACAGTCCTACCCACCCCTCTGCCGTTTCTGTTTGGTCCAGCCTCCTGAGCTCGCGCTCGCTTTCTCCCTTCTACGTGTGTGTCAACATGGTACAATCCACCTCCACGCCACAGACCGTTGCTGGTCCGTGATTTGTCTTTTCCTCTTCACCGCTTGCAACCTGCAACTTGTATATAACCCGAACCCGAGCCACCTGGCTTCCCTGTGGTACGATTAACTACTGGGCCGTGGTTCCTATTGCTATGGCTTTCCACAACGGTACAGCCCGGATCCCTTCCCTGTTTCCATGTGGTACAATCGCATCGTGTTCCATAATCTGACACACACCCCCTTCCTGGAAATCAACATGGTACACTCCCCTTCCCTTTCTGCCGCCTCCCTGTGGCTCAGCCCTGCGATCTAAAGGCCACCTCTCCAGCTTCTCCACATGGTTTGGCCCAGACCCACCCCCCCCACCCCACCCCCGCCCATGAATACCTTCACACAGTTGAGTCTGATGCTGAAACTGGACATCCCTATTCCACCCTCCTGCTGCCTCCTGCTGGTTCAACCCAGTGCCGGTCCAGAATCTGACCGTTTTCTCCAGCTTGTCGACCTGGTACATTCCGGGTTCCCCCTTCGCAGCCTCCCTGTGGTTAGAGCCCTACGCGGCCCAGCCCCCGCCCCTCTGCAGGGTCCAGCCTGTGGTGCCCTAAACTAACTCTCCCCCACCGGTGTCGTCTGTCTTACAGTGGATGGTGCCCCCCATGGTCGCTGAGACTCCCCATCGAGGATTGCGCCTGTCCTTTCCAAGTCTCCCCACTCGGGGAGGGGAGTCACCCCCAAAACAAAGCTATTAAAGGGACAGAATACTTCCTGTTTCTTAGTGGTCTGATTCTAGGCGCGGCGGGGAAACATTTGGGTATTGGAGAACAGCAGCCTTCTTCTAGAAACCAATCTCCCTCTTCCTAAACCGCACCACTCGGTTTTTTGGCTTCCTGTTTCCCCAAACTGTCATTTAGATTAGCGGCTCCTTTAAGTGGCGCCTCTTTCATTCCCCCCAACTCACCCTCCCCGTCGGGCAGCACGCGCAGAGCCATGTGCTTCCCCCTCCCGCCTGCCTCATTGGCCCGAACTGGGTCACGGTCCCGCCCCCAGTGCCGTCTCCCATTGGGCAAATGTAGGTCAGGGTCCCGCCTCCCACCTAAAGGCGCAGCAACTTCACGCACTTAGCCCCTCACGCGCCCTCCCGGGCCTTGGCGGATGCTGGGGTCCCATTGGCCGCGCGTCTCGAGGGGTCAAGACGCGATTGGCCCGTGCGTTCAGCCGGAGGGAGGCACGCGGCTTGGGTGCTTGGCCCGAGAGGCAGGCGGGGGCCGAGAGGAGGGGTGTGCGCTGTGGCGTCGGGTGTTTTGGTTTGGCTTTTTTTTTTTTTTTTTTTTCCGCGAAAGAAGTTTGCGTTGGCCACGCCTCAAGGCGGCCGCCTCCTCTTGCCCCCTCCCCCGCCCCTCCGCGCACACCTCTTGGTGCAGATTGCAAAGCGCCTTCCGCTGAGAGAGCTGCAGATTTTGCAAGAGCCTAGCTCGCCCACCTTGCTGGAGCGCCTTGTGTCCCCCTGAACTCCGGGTTGCAAAGAGCCGGTTGCCTGATTTGACCACCCCCTCACCCGGACTGCATGGTCTCCTGGGACCCTCTTGAGTTGCACGTTTCTGCACTGAGGACTGCGAATCCCCGTCACTCCTAGGATTTGCAGTGTTCTGGATACTGGAGGCTTGCAGGCTACGCTCGCCCGCTCCTGGGCAGGCACTCGCCCGAACCACAGGAGTGTGCCGCTGACTGGCAGGCCAGCTCTTCGCCTCTCCATGAGCCCGTGAGCTTACGGGCAGGTGCCCGGTGATGGCGCGGCCCGTGAGCGACAGGACCCCGGCCCCACTGCTGCTGGGTGGCCCAGCCGGGGCCCCCCCTGGCGGGGGAGCGCTGCTTGGGCTGCGGAGCCTTCTGCAGGGGACCAGCAAGCCCAAAGAGCCATCCAGCTGTGAGTTCTAGCCCCCGCCTATTCCAACTCGGACACCCAACTCCCTTAGGGATTCAAATGCTGGGGCGGGGGCCCCCCGGGACTACCTCCTATCGTGCCGAGAGTCCATTCTCAACCTTCATCTACTCAGTTACTAGGGTGTTTAGGACCCTAGATCCCTCGGCACCTAGGATCCAAAAGTACCTGCTTAAAGCCCATCCACCAGGAGGACCCAGGAGTCTCCGTGTCCTCTTCCCGGAGGACCCAAGAGTCTAGGCCCCAGCCCCCCCCCCCCCCCCCCCCCCCCCCCCCCCCCCGCTTCCTCTGCGTTATGAGAGTCCGGACCCCTGGGGTCCAGGAAAGAGGGAGGGGGTGTGTCGGATGCTCACACGGTATTGACACGGGCTTGGGCGGGGCCTCCTGGGGTCACATGGAGTCTGGGGATGAGGAATGTGCCCCAGGAATAGAGCCCCTTCCTGCCCCTTGCAGAGTGTGGGGGTGGGGAGAAGCGGCTACAGTGAGCAGGGGGGTAGGTTACAGAGAAATTACAGAACCGTCATTTTTTTTTCCTCTCACCTGCCCAACCCTCCACCTGCCTCTTTTTGAACTTCGGTCGTCCTTCCGTGGCTCTGTACCTTCCCTGGTCTCTATCTTACCCCTCTCTGGGTCTCTATCCTCCCCCCTCTTTCTGAGTCTCTCTCCCTCTCTCGGTCTCTGCCTGCCTCTCTGTCTCTGCCGCCCCCGTCTGTGCCTTCTCTCTCTGGGTCTCCTTCGCTCTCTTGAGTCTCTGTTGCTTTCTCTCTCTGGGTCCTTGCCTTCCCTCTCTGATCTCTCCCTCTCCCCCGTCTACCCCCTCTTTCTCTGGATCTCCGCCGTGTGGGTCTCAATCCCCCCATTCTTCCTGTCTTTCTGTGTCGGGGTCTCTCCTCCGTCTCTTCCTTCCCACCCCACCCGGTCTTTTTCCCCGCCCGCAGGTCTCCTGAAGGAAAAGGAGCGCAAGGCGGCTCCGCCGGCATCCACGGTCCCCGGGCCGGGCCTGGAGACGGCGGGCCCGGCGGATGCCCCGGCTGGGGCGGTGGTGGGCGGCGGATCCCCGCGGGGGCGCCCGGGGGCCGCGCCTGGCCCGGGTCTGTTGGCGCCGCTGCTGTGGGAGCGGACGCTGCCGTTCGGCGACGTGGAGTACGTGGACCTGGACGCCTTCTTGCTGGAGCACGGGCTCCCGCCCAGTCCGCCGCCCCCCGGCGGCCCGTCACCGGCGCCCTCGCCCGTGCGCACGCCCGCACCCTCCCCGGGGCCCGGCTCCTGCGGCTCAGCTTCCCCTCGTTCCTCGCCGGGGCACGCCCCCACCCGGGCTGCCCTCGGGGCCGCGGGCGGCCACCGCGCAGGTGCGACGGCGGGGGCGGGACAGGGCCCCGGCTGGGCGGGGCTTGGACTTCGGGGGCGGGGCTGCGACCCGGGGATGCGATGGTGGGGCTGGGGTTGTGCGCCCAAATTCTGGGTCCTTCTAGGCGAGAGATGTTTGGAGAGAAGTCCGGATTCTGTGTCCCTTAATGCATCAGGGTACTGGGTCTCCTGGATCCATTGGAGATAAGGGACTTGGGACCCCAAATTCCAGGAAGTATGTCCAGTAGGGAGATAGTGTGGATTTTTCGGTGGGACGTGGGGACCGAGGGTCCGGATACTCGAGGAGCCGGGACTGGGTTCCCAGAACACCGGAATTATTTACTGGGGAGTGAACTGCACTCCAGAATCCGGGCCCAGAATCGGTGGAGTGTGGAAGGACCATAACGCGTAGGTCCTCTACAAGGGAGAAAGCAAGGTCTGGGCACAGACTTCTGTTCCACCATGATGTAAGGGACTGTCTGCCCTGGTTCCTGAGTCCGCCAGTGGAGAAGGGCTAGCACCCCGGATCCTCTAGAGGGGAGAAGGTCGGGGATCTTCATTCTAGATCTTACATTGAGGCTTGGACCGAGTCTCCTATGTCCTGGGAGAGGAGGGGCCGAGGATCCCAGAATCCTAGCGTGTATCCCAGTGGCGAGGGAGAAGGAGGTCGAGGGGGCCGTTTCTCAGTGTGTTCCCCAGAGTGTAGGAATGCCTGGATCTTTGGAGGTTGAGAGGTTCGAGCTAAGGAACCGCAAAGAGCCGAAGGAAAAGTGTGCTCTCTCCGGCACTGGGGGGTCCAGGGGCGGTCTGCAGGTTGGGGATTCCCGGACACACCTGCCCCTGGCCAGACCTCCGGGCGGAACCAGGGCCCTCCCCTTCCCAGCCGCACATTCCTGCGCCACGTGAGTCCTCTCCTCTCTCCTCCATAGTCTTGACTTCGCGCACGCGCGGTCACGCGGAGGGGGCGGGGCCTGGGGAACTAGAGGGCGCCCGTGGCTGCAGGGGGGGCGGGGCGGGAAAGCAGGCGCCCGCACGTGACTGGCCCTGAACCTGTGTCCTCAGCTGGCCCCGGCTTGGTCGCTCTTAAAGGCACAGGCCGCCCCTGTCCCCTCTCTTGAACCGACCTCCAAAAACCTGTCATTTCCGCTTTTCATCCCTAACCCTTCGAAGCCAGCAGCTCTTAAGAAGCTTACCTGAAGCCTTTTCAGTGCATTGGATTTCTTTTTCTTGCGCAGCCCCCCCGGGGGGGGGGGGGGGGGGGGCTAGGCTTTGATCAGGGATTCAATAAGCAGGATTCGGGCTAGACTATGGGAAGGAAGCTGACGCTGCCAATCCGAGGGCCAGAGGTGTTAGAAGCAATAGACCAGACTCGTGTTATTTAGGGTAAGTCAGTTATAATTGGGCTCATTTCTGTGTCTGTGAAAGTGGAGTCGGTTCCATGATTTCTAAGCTACAAGGTAGCTTAGGGACCCTTCGTAGTTTATATTAGAGAGGTTGATCTCTGGCAGGCTTTACGGTAGGCCTCGTAAGGGCCTTCCTCGGGGTGGAAAAGACACCTGAGCAGGGGGTAGCCTCTGCGAGTACCAAATATATACACACTCAGGTGGCACATTCTGTTTCCCCAAGGCCTGACCTCTCGGGACACACCCAGCCCTGTGGACCCAGACACCGTGGAGGTGCTGATGACATTTGAACCCGACCCAGCAGATTTAGCCCTGTCGAGCATTCCTGGCCACGAGACCTTTGACCCTCGGAGACATCGCTTCTCCGAGGAGGAACTTAAGCCCCAGCCCATCATGAAGAAGGCTCGGAAGATCCAGGTGCCAGAGGAGCAGAAGGTGAGCACTGCTAGATGTAGGCTGTAGGCATGGCCTTTACAGGCCCTACGGCCAGGGATGGCTCTTTCCTCCCAGTCAGGCCTGGGCTTCTCATTGGGGTTAGCTCTCAAGGTTCCCTTAACCTACAGCCAAGAATCAGTCAGTCGTGCGAAGCCGTGGGGTGTGACGGGGCTGAGGTTTGGGCTTGAGATCTGCGAAGATGGTGTCATTATGGGATGCAGTCTCAACCAGCCTTGCTGGGCCCAGTTGTACAGGCTTGGGGCTTGGACCAGGCCCAGTCACTAAGGACAGCATTCCTTAGCAGCAGGGTGTCAGTCTGTTTCTTCTGAGCCGCTAGCCCTGCTGGGGCTGGTCCTTTGGTCTCTGATTTGGGGCACCGTTCAGGGTGCTTGCGTCCACCTAGGATGCAGACTTTGACAGCCCGTCTGGGCCTTGTTTTCTGGGCCTGGACTGCTCCGCGGTGAGAGACCTCAAGTTCCCATCAGCAGCCAGAGCTGCCTTCTGATTTGGGGCAGCGACCGCTTCTTTCCAGTCTTCTGCTCCCTTTGGCCACTTCCGGGGCCTCCCCTAGTTAAGAGGTGTCCTGGCTGCTCACCAGACGTCACCTCACCCTTGCGTAAGACGCGACTGCTCGAAGCGCTGAGGA